CCTCTCATGTGGAAGACCTTCTGGTGATTCATCATCTGGTAGATCTTCTTGTTGTGCTGGGAGAGCGGCCAAAACTGGTAGTAAAACTTGTTCAGGATCTTCAACGTCCAAGGACTGACGCAGAGGATCCGCGTAGTCTTCCTTGGCGTACAAAAGTTTCAAATGCTTGTCAGACAGAAACTGCTGTTTCCAAAAACGAGCCACTGACTGGCAAAAACGCCAAGGATAATATGCCGATCGAGCCGTTTCAGGCCCTTGGATCCAAACATGGTTGTGAGACCCCAAACAGGTCTTGGTCTTGTAGTTGAGGTGGAACTGCTCATCGGTGGTTTTGATAAGCCACCGTTTTCGAATGAAGCCTTCATTCTTGCTGTCCATGAGGCCGTAACGACACCCATCAACTCGGCAGTCAAGCCATGGAAGTCCAATAGAGTGGATGTACTTCTCCAAGTCCAACATGGGAGCTTCTTGCCAGCCTCGACAAGGAAACACCCATTCATAGTAGATTTGACAATCTGGGTCTTGAAGAAGAGCATCACGGACAAAGGAGTTCATGCACCACAACATCTTGCGTTCTCTCCGTTGATATTGTTTCAAGAGTTCCTGTCGTTCAGGAGAGGCATAGTTGATGTAAGTCCACTGGCAAAACTTGGTGCACGGCAAGCTGAGCCAGATCTTTTTGGGTTTTCGTTGAGCACGGAGCTGCTTCAAACGCTCCCAAGTAGCTGGCTGGTACAAATCAAAGCCAGAGTGGAGATTGATTCTCCTCGACTGAAGACCTTGGGAGTTGCAAGCTTCGGAGAGCCAGCTGTGTGGCGAGCATGCCACTTCCCAGACACCATCACGTCCATCAAGACAAAGTTGAATGGTGCTGGCAGCCATCACCATTAGCATAGAAGCAGCCATGTTCATCAACTTGGATGCCACCCTTGAAGTCAAAGGTCTCGTGCTCGGCAATCTCAGTTCATCTCGCTCTCCTCGTTGTTGGCGTTTTGACATGGAGCAGCCATCGATGACTGAGCTTGGCCCTTGCGCTCTTGAATCACCTGCTTCAGCTTGCTCTTCTCCTCTTCGGACAGAAGAGCTTCCATTTCGGCAGGAGTCGGCGCTTCGCTGATTGCCTCCCAGGATGGAGTTGGGCTCCCAGGGGGTGTCTTCGGCTTCGTCTTGTAGCCGTCGTGGAACAGCACGTTGGAAGGCTTTGGAGCTTCGTTGATCTTTATGACCAGGGCATTCACAACCTCGTCCGCATCGATCTTGGCCTGCATGGCACGGCATAGCTCCAAGGTTGGGCGTCGACCCTCGGTCATCACAAAGGTCTCTCGAAGCATCCTTTCCACCATCCCCGGATTCTCGCACTTGGTCGTCTGACCGGCTGCACCCACTCTCGGCACATAGGACAGACGTAGGCCGCACACTGCACATTCGATCCATCGACTGTGCTGGTTGGATCGCGCTCCCGTCGGTGTGTGCGCCGCATAGCACGGCCATTGATTGGCCTTGGCCCTTGGATCCCTCAGGTCCATACTGACCTCTCTGGAAGGATCGAAAGGCTGAGCTGGTGCCTTCTTCGGTGTGCTTTGCTTCGCCATGCTGGTCAACTGCTTGGACTGCTCCGCAGTGATCATCTCCTTGGAGGTCGACATGGCGAGCACACTTGGAAGAACTCGAATTTGCGCTGTTGCTCTTGGAGATCATGAGAGCTGAGCCAGATGCTGAAGCATTCGAAGGCTGAGCAAGTGATCTCAAAGTTCTCAGTCTTTGCACTGCCTCAATTTTCACCTTCTCATCAAGCATGCGTTCAGAGACCGTGAGATCATAGTATTCAACTGGATGAAATTCTAGAGATTGAAGTGAACGCACAGCTTCGGCACCCTTGACCCGGATGGTGGCATGACCCTCATGACATTCATGTCCTTCAGTTAGAAGCTGAACAACATCCAAAACATAGTGCCCTTTTTGGTTAACTGGAAGTTGAAAAGCTTCACCATCGTTGGTTTGAATAGCCATGCCCGTGGGAAAGTCAATGCAAAGTCCAAAATGTGCATCCCCCAAATAATCCATACCAACCAAAATAGGAACCATGCTTGAACGATCAAAGTTGGGATCATGTAGTTGAGGAGGATTGGGCAACGCAAACAGCTTGAAGGTCTTTGGGGAACCACTAGCATGTGATTTGATAGATGCTCGAAACAAAGCCCTGCCCCACTGCCCATTGCCAAAGCGAAAATACGGTCGCTCGGACTTCTGAATGTCAATCACCGCTTGGTGGTCAAGTTCCAAGACACTAGAAATCAGCGACTGAACTGCCAAGAGAGGACCGGCTGATGCAGTCGCTCCGCAGTCAATCAAACCTTGGCTGGGAGACAAAGAAGTGGAGCTAGCAGCCGTGTTCATCTCCTTCACATCCATGAGCTCTAGCCCATACATGCCAGCACTGTATGCGTTCACCGCGGGTCGAGACTGACCCTTGCCCTTGCCTTTCTTGCCCTTGACCCACGCTTGAGCCTCGAGCCATTTGAGACCTTTCGATCCCTTCTTGCCCTTGCCCTTGCCAGTGAAATAGTTGTCAACCTCTTCGTATTCAGTCATGTAGTGAGGCTTGAACTTGCCCTTGTTGAAACCCTTACTGTAGTAGGGGTGTCGCCGATCAGGACATTCACTGGAAAGGTGTGGGCCATGACAAATAAAGCAAGGTCCTCGGCCAGCAGGTTTGCCTTGAACAGGAATCTGACCAAAGCCCCTATCCTTCCTCAAGGCTTGTGTTGCCCTTTGAGCTTCACTCCACGTTCTCTGAGCTTCGGCTGCTAAGGACTCAGCCACGCGCTCAGCTTGCTGAGCTTCTTTGAGAGCAGCTTCATCCTCAGGAGACGGTGAAGTCTCTTCTTCTGCGGCAGCTTCTTCAGGAAGACTGGCATAGTAACCATCATAGTCCCACCAGTCCCAGTCGTCACCATTCCATTCCCAGTCATCACCATAAGCAGCCATTCCATCTAGCCACCACTCATCATAGTGTTCAGCTTGATAGTTGTCATGTTGTTGGCCACGTCCATGCTGACGACCAAGAAATTGCTCATCCCACAGGGTTTGAAGAGCATGGGTGACAACTTCAAACTCTAAACTGCCACGGGTCGTGCCCAGAATGTCACGCTTATCTTCAGGTGAAAGCCCAGCAGCTTGAAGAACTCGAAAACCACGCAGGACGCCGAGCACAAAGCTATCGGCCAGCGTCAGTTCATTCACAACGTCAGGAGAAGTTGATGGAATTCCGACAGATCGTTTCTCAGGAACCAGTGGAGGCACTCTTCCAGACTGGCGCGAAGGTGTTCGGCCAGTAGGAGAGCCCATGTCACCAGGAGGTGTAGCCGGCTCTGCAGCAGCAACTTGAGGCGCAGCAGTGGCTGCCGCAGGTGGAGCTTGTGGTGGATCTTCAGCAGGAACTTCGGGAACTTCTGATGGAGGGGAAGAAGACGTTCGCCACCAGTCATCCCACTCACCTTGAGTCCATTCGTCCTCCAGTTCATCAGAAGGCAGACCAAAATCTTTGTCATCCTGTTTGATCCCATGCTTGTCTTCGTAAAGACGTATGATGGCTTCCACAAACTCGCTATAGCCCAAAGCTTCTCGAACCAAAAAGGCATGAATTGGTTCTCCTGGAGCTCGCTTGAAGGAAAAATACTGCTGACAAATAGCAGCAGCATTTGGAAGCGATTGCCTCACCAAAGGAGAAACTGCAAGTCGACGCAGATACTCCTTGGTGCCACCAACCTTGTCGAAGTCCACATCTGGCCAAGACATCGCCAGAAGCCTAGCAGGCCCAGTCAGCCTACTCATCAGCTTTGAAGCGCAATGTCGCCTCTTGTTCTGAGGCGTGGCGCGGACATACCAACACACTTCTCGGGTGTATCGGCGCCAGCCCTTGGCTTGACCATCCCAACCAGGCACATGGTGCTCCTTCTCCATCTTGCCAAAGGAGACTGCAAGGAAAAAGCAAAGGCCCAGGTCGCGTCACCTGGAAGTACAAAGAAGTCAGCTGCAGCCAAAAAATGCAAAAGCCCGACTGTCGCCGCAACGTCAATGCCTCAAGCAATGATTGCAGCAGCAGCAAGAGATTCAAAGGCCCTGGCACAGCCGCAAGTCCAGCGCAAGCCAATCCCTTGAGGATGTAGTAGCGCAGCAGCTGGAGCAACACTTGCTCCGCTACCAGTGTAGCGGGTGCACACCGGTAGCAGATTGAGCTCTCAACCAAATGGGGTTTCCACAGCCCCACCAATCAAACAGCACAGCAAATGAAGCGAGCGCAAGGCTCAGCAAATGTTTTCCATGCACAGCGGGTGTGCGTACAATCGCACCATCAAGTGCTCAAAGGGGCCCCTACAGACCCGTATGGTCATATGAGCCAAGCATCACGGAGTCATCCAAGTTTCAGATTGGCAATGCTGATTGGCAAAGGAAGGTACCTGGCAGGTCAGGAGCTGGACATGTTGCAGACTCCCAGTGCAGGAGCATCACATTGCGAGGTGGTTTGCTGAGAACCAAGTGAGCAGTGTTCAAAACCCCGGTAGGTTCATTGTTATATATATATATGTATATATATATGTATATATATATATATTGGGGAGTATCACATCCATTAACAGGGAATCTCTATCAACCAACGAGCATAAAGGGACGATACAGGGTTTTGGAACACTACTCAAGTGGTTTCAATGGGTGCACAGTTTTAAAGAGCGGTGATTTTGTGGCATTTTTTTTGCAACATTTTGACACGCTTTTTGAATGGATATAGCCTCTGGATAGATCCTCTGGTACTTCAACACTATGGACAATCCCGACAATCCAGAAGTTCAATGTTTTTTCCGTTCAAACCGCCATTGATGATGATTTGTCCCACCATGCTCCCATGATTTTCCCATGATTTTCCCATGATGTTCCCATGATGTTCCCATTAAAACCTCCTTTTCCTTACGGCATTTCTCAGCCATGGTGGACGTTGCCAGGTGCTTCACCCGAGCCATTGCTACCGCAGCTGGGCTTGGCGCACGAGAACATCCGCTACATCGGTGCCGGAACCTGGAGTTGTTGCAGCGAAATTCGACGGCTATTCCTGATAAACCATAGGAAAACCATAGGAAAACCATAGGAAAACCATAGGAAAATGGTGATTTAGCGGTGATTTCATGGGGTTTAATGGGATTGAATGGTGATTTTTTTAATGAACTACCATCTGGTTATGTCAACAGTTTGCGAACTTGAAAATGGCCCAGTCGAAATAGTGGATTTACCCAGCTTTTTGTAATGGTGATTGAGCCATCAAAATATACCATCTGGTTATGACATTCACAGTTCGCGAACTGGAAAGATCCACCAT